GTGACATGTATATGACGTAACACAGAGACACGTAAACACAGACACATGCTCTCTCTTACTGTTACTCTCACTCTCTCTTTCATTCTCTCTTTCTCTCACTCCCAGTCTCTCTGCATCTCTCTACTTTCACTCTCTCTCCATTCTCATTCTAACTTTCTCTTACTATCTCACTCGTGGTGTCACAATTACTTCCTTCTTTCATCCCCCCCCCCCCCTTCCCCTTCTAGATCCCGTTCGCGATAGACAGTACAAAGTTAATTAAGCATTACCACCTCATCGGTGAGTTACTTTCACTTCTACACATTCAGTATCTCCATCCATAAACGCCATTTACACACACATACACACACATACACACACACAACGTTAGACACATGCACGCTTTCTTTCTTTCACTCTCAGTCTTTCTTCCATTCTCTCTCTCAATTTATCTTTCAATCCATCTCTTCCAAAGTCTACGTTTCATTCTCTCTCTGTCTATTTATCTATCAATATCTCTCTCTCCAGTGTTCCAGTATAGACAGTAACACCCCCCACAGACACACCCCACACACACACCCTCGAGCGCGCGCGACACACACACAATCTCAATTATGATAAATATGCTGTCGTGGTGTTAAGTGTCCACTCACAGTCCCGTGTCAACATGTTTGTATGATGAGCAAAATGCTGCATCAACACCAATCCATCTCTCTCCACTTACACCCATCTATCCATCACCTATATCTGTAATTAACAACGAGACTGGACAGGTCACTCGCGGTCAACCAGTCAGCATCTGACGCTACAAGACTGATGGGTGATACTGGGGTACGTGGTGTTGCGGTACGGCTGGTCCTGGTGTTTCTGGCCCCGTGGGTAGAGCTATAGTCCACAGAGCTGGATGTCAGTGGTTTGGTCCCCGGCTCCATCATGTCAAAAGACGTTTAATTGTGGTGGTTGTCGTTAACTGTCATTGCTCTCTTCTCTCTCTCTCTCTCTCTCTCTCTCTCTCTCTCTCTCTCTCTCTCTCTCTCTCTCTCTCTCTCTCTCTCTCTCTCAGTCTACCTTTCATTCTCTCTCATTCCCTGTCCCTCTCAGTGTACCTTTTCTTCTCTTCCTCGCTCTCGTTCTCTCCCTCTCAGTCTGTCTTTCGTTCTCTCTCTTTCTCTCTCCGTCTATCTTTCATTCTCTTTCCGTCTGTCTTTCATTCTCTCTTATTCCTTCTCTCCCTCGTGGGTTTCATGGATTCCCAACATAAGTACAATGTGTGAAGCCCATTTCTGGGTCCCCTGTCGTGATATTGCTGGAATATTGCTAAAAGCTAATAGCGGGTAAAGCCATACTCACTCACTCACACGCACGCACATACACACATGTACCCGCACAAACAGGTCGAAATTGTAGTATTTTTCTATGCTAGAACGTTTTACTCAACCATGCACAAATAGGCATTACCTCACACCAAAATAAACTAACGAACAAAAGAAAGTACACACCAGGAGCTTTTGGATTACTTTCCAAAAAGCGACGTAAATGTTTTGAAAAGAGTTTTTACAGTGAAATATAAGTCACAGACTTTCCTAATATGTTGCCACAACACCACAGATATCGTGCCCAATTGCGAAGTTGCCAGTCAAAATCACAACACTTTTCAAATAATCCCAAAACACCAGGTGTGTACTTTCTTTTATACGTCAGTTTATTTAATTCGGTGAATATGATATTATCCTAAAACAAATTCCACCTCAGGATCTTGTTAATCGTCAATATTAATATTTAAAAGCATAAAAATTTGACCTCCAATATTTTAATTATCTAGTTTCATGATAAGAATACTCAAAACCATGAGAATGAGATATATTTCATTTCAGATTCCACGCATATTTCTGGTTTGATGTGCAGACAAATACCTTCCAACTATTCTCATGCTATAGATGTTCGGGGCCAGCCTTTAAACCACTTGGCTGTATAAATGGATTAGTATCACCGTCCTCATTTATCAGCCAGATGACCCATGAATGACCACGGCTGACCCTGGGTCCAGCAAATTGAAAACAGACATGGTTTATAATCAACTTGATTAGTAAATACATGGTTCGTAAATAAGCCCAGTGAACTAAGTACTGCTATCAAGTATCTCCACGCCGTCACGTGATGTTTATGGCCACATCGGTCAACTCAATTTAGCGAGAATTACTGAGTAAATTAGATGCCGTCTTCTTAATATACCCCCTCCGCTGATTAATGGAATTTATAATAAACACGGAGATGTTTGAAGTTTTATCCGATCTACAGAGGAATGAGCGACCACTCGTTACAGCTTCTCGTTGGCTGATGTGAAGAACTGATGAAACAATTGTTGCTTCGTCTGTATCTAAATTGTGTTTGAAAAGAAAATATGACAATTTTTAGGGAATTGATTTCTTTTTTCTTTGTCCTTTAAACAGCTGATACACAGGCGGCCGTGAATCCTTCATATTCGAGGTACTTTGCATGAAGCGTCCATTAGATTTTTTAACTTAAACGATATATGTACAAACAAATAAACAAACTATTGTAATATGATAAAAAGGAAACATTTACAAACATATGTTTTGGGTAAGAACATAAAAAAACATCCAACCATCCACCCATCCATTACTCAATCCATCCATCTATCCATCAGACAGGCGCAAATCCATCCATCCATCCGTCCGTCCATTTAAGCATGCGCACATACACACTTTGTGATATTGTTGGAATAATGCCAAAAGCGGCGTAAAACCAAACTCACTCACTCACTCCTTCCAAGCATACTTACGTACACATCCATCCATCCAAGCATGCAAACACACACACACACACACACACACACACACACAAACAACAAACAAAAGCGCACGCAGACATGTGATATGTCTGTCTGTCTGTCTGTCTGTCTGTATGTCTGTCTGTATGTATGTATGTATGTATGTATGTATGTATGTATGTATGTCTTTGTCTGTCTGTCTGTCTGTCTGTCTGTCTGTATGTATGTATGTATGTATGCATGCATGTCTGTCTGTATGTCTGTCTGTCTGTCTGTCTGTATGTATGTATGTATGTATGTATGTATTATGTCTGTCTGTATGTATGTATGTACGTGCGTGTATGTGCGCGCATGCGCGTGTGTGTGCTTATCTTGTATTTACTTTGAAATATTTAGCATTTTAGCACTTTGAATATTCCTACATTGATTACAACGACAATAAAATCTGTACTTTGTTTAGAGATAATCATTGGATCGTTGAACCAGCCTGCCCTTTAAACAAGATAATTACACGCTGTGATAACCTTTACTACTTCCTTCAATGGACGGGGCGGTAGTTCCTGTCACGTGACCTCCTGGGAAGCGACGAACCTCCAACTTCCCGTATCACCCAACGGGGAGTGAGTATAGTTTTACGCCGGCTACTCCACCATCCAGGTAAAGGGTTGCTGCATTTAGAGCGTATGCAAATTGTTTCTTTAGCAAGAATGTTATTGAGTTGATACACAAAGTTAGGTCCATGCTGCCGACTGTATGGTTGTGGCAACATCGAAGAGGATGCGTAGTTACTCACAGATGGATTCTGGGAAGGATGAAGGTGAAATACGTCGCAAGGTCGCTAACTCTGGCTACTACCTGACATACACAACCACGCGTGCGTACGCGTTAACACACACAGGGAGATAGAGAGACAGAGAGAAACACAGACACACTAACACAGACACATTCTCTCTCTCTTACTTCTACTCTCACTCTGTCTTTTATTCTCTGGGGCGGTGGGGTAGCCTAATGGGTAAAGCGTTCGCTCGTCACGCCGAAGGCCCGGGTTCGATTCCCAACATGGGTAAAATGTTTGAAGCCCATTTCTGGTGTCCCCCCGCCGTGATATTGCTGGAATATTGCTAAAAGCGGCGTAAAATCAAACTCACTCACTCACTCACTTTCAATCTCTCACCCCCAGTCTATCTGCATCTCTCTACTTTTACTCTCCATTCTCATTCCAACTTTCTCTTACTTTCTCACTCTATTACTTCCCATTCCTCTTTCTCTTTCTCTCTTCCTCTATCTATCTCTATCTATCACTCCCTCTTTCTTTCTCCCTCTCTCACGCACGCACGCACACACACTTCTGCAGGCGTTACCCTCACATCTCTCTCACCCCGCCCCCGTCCCTCGTTCTGTACACATGGTACACCTTGTCCCCGTACACTCATATGTCCAACCTGCGTTTTAAGTTGACCCAAAAGGACTCCCCTGACACAGGTCGTGTTTGTCTTGGCAGGTCAAGATCGCCATTGTCCCAAGTCACGTCCAGTCACCCCCTCGCTTTCCACACCTTCTCCCCCAAGCCTAGCCTCTAAAGAGGGTCCGTGTTTGCCCCCAAATGTTTTCAAACCGGGGAGAGGGATTAATTATGCCACTCAAGCAGTCTGGTCAAATACGACCGACTAAACCATTTGTGATAGGAGTGTTTGCATGAAGACTGTAGGTTAAACCTTTCTCCTTTACTTAGGTAGCATGTACAATGACATGTTTTTGTTTCCTATTGACTGAGACTTTCCCTCTGTTTGCCTTTTTCAGCTTCAATATATGCCGTGCCAGTTGATGAAATTGGGTTTTAAAAGGCTTCCAGTTTCAGCCATTATAGGCTGTGCATGAGTAAGTGAGTGAGTATGGTTTTATGCCGCTTTTAGCAATATTCCAGCAATATCACCGCAGGGGACACCAGCAAATGGGCAGGCCCGTAGAATAACATCTAGTCTCTGAAATGAACATATTTTACAGAAGAAAAACTGTTCATGAGAACAAATCGTAAAATAATAAAAAGGAGCCCAGAGACATTTTCAATTAAGACTGCCACATATTCTAATGAGTTAGTGAGTGAGTATGGTTTTTACTGCGCTTTTAGCAATATTCCAGTAAAATCACGACGGGGGACACCGGAAATGGGCTTCACACATTGTACCCATGTTGGGAATCGAACCTGGGTCTTCGGCGTGACGAGCGAACATTTTAACCACTAGGCTACCCCACCGCCCAGTTAGCATGTTAAAAGAAGACAGAGGTTAGTATAAAAGAGTAAATTAAGAGTAATGAAGATACAGATGGATCTTACTTCTTGATTTAAAGGCTGGCAAGAAAGTGTCGAGTTTGAGGTCAAGTGGGAGCGAGCCCATGAGGCTGCTTCTGACTAGGGAAACGAAACAAAAAAGTATTTATTTTTCAGCGGAACTGATTTGACAGCATGGACACCAAAGGTCAGAAACTACACAACACAAAACCAAGGCAGGCTTTGCTTCGATATTAGTCTCTCTCACAGTCCCTGAACCACATTATTTTCCCTACAGCCAAGCCCTATCTGCAGTGCTAAAGCCCTAAATAAAGCAAGTCTAGATTTCCTCAGGTTCTGAATCTCTGGTCTCCCTAGGGCTCCTTTTCAATTTAAATGGGCTTGTATGTTACTATCAAAATTATATATATTCAGAGACTAAGCATTAGTCTACTTCGATATGAATATATCAGCGAACGCTTGAACTACTAGGCCATCAAACCGCCCCCGGCGTCATGAAGGTAAGGCCAGCACATGTACCGCAATGTACCCCGGGTGTCGGATAAGGGTAACAACCCCCAGTCTATCCCATCATACAGAAGTGTTGCAGACCTCTGGTGAAGCCCGCGGGTGTGGTACTTACTTGGTACAGACAAACCTTGGCTGCATTTGGGATTCAAACCCACGAACAATGACTCGATAATTCGTGAAAGCGCTATTGACGCAGCTGGAAGACACCCACGGGAATACATGCTGCCTGTTTTGTTTGTTTGAGGTGTAACGCTCAGAAATATCACAGCTACATGGCGGCGGTCTGTAAATAATCGAGACTGGATTAGACAATCCAGTGATCAACATCATGAGCATCGATCTACGCAGTTGGGATACGAGGAGCCTGACCACCTGATCCCGCCTCTTACGACACGCATGGGTTGCTGAAGATCACTTCCAACCCGGATCTTCACAGGACACGTACTTTCACGTATTCAAACTAAAGTCCGAACAACGACAAAACGGTGAAAACATTCATAAACACCATAGACCCAAAACCAACACTGGTGTTGAGCGTTCAGTCCGGATATTGACTGTTAACAGTCATCGCTGTATTTTTATCTTCCAGGAAAACAACATCCTCTGTTATGTTATGTTTAATAAACAACCGACACACGGTACGTTAATAGAAGATCTGAGGATCCCGTTAGTCGCCTCTTACAACAAGCATGAGTATGGAACCCAAGAAGGGACATTGTCGCGTTGTCGCATTGTCGCCCTCTTAAAAACAAGTTTAATGAGGCAAAATAAACCAAAGCGCAACACTCGACATCTGTAAATAGAAGCCTAAAAATTGACTAAAACGCGACAACGCGACAACGCGACAATGTCCCTTCCAGGATTCCATACATGAGTTACTGAAGATCAGTTTCTAACCCGGATATTCTCGTGTGAGAATGCATCTGGTACTGACAGACATTGGGTGGAATGGCCCTTATAACACTACATGCCTAAATCCGGGAGAACAAAGCCGGATCTATAGTTTGGACTAAACTACATAGCATAACTTGCGCATAGAACAAAGCCGACAGTATATGGTCTACAGAACTAAATATAGCACAAGCTGTCTACAAAACGAAGTCGAAAATATAAACGTCTTTAATGACCGGATCCCGCTGCACCGAAGGGACACAACTCATCTGCATGATCCAGCACAATGTCTTTGTTCTGTCAATTACAAACTCAATGTCTTGACGGTCCAGATGCACACAAAGGAACAACTGGTCATGTTACTAATGAGTCCCGCTAACGAATACCACGTCCAGAAGAGAGACCTAGCATTTGAACTTGAACAAATAAACAGAAAATCACTTAAAATACAAGCCGCTCATAACGATAAAACCGACACTCGTCACGCAAGCAATTTCAGTCTCCGTGTAAAAATATAATGTCTTAAAGCATGCGTGATGCGACTCGCGTGAGTTACAAAATCTCAATTCTCATCCTCTTTTGTTGGTCTCGTGCAGGTCATAGTGTTAAGCACGACTAATTATCATGTAGCTACAAAACGCTTGTGATATAGCTTTCCTCACGACTGTTCGCGTTTCCAAGTCTTCCCGTTCGAGTGTCATTAGTTGACGGAATGTATGACACGTGGCACGCTGACGTGCTGGATTAACCCAAAGCCGAGGCTTTCTTATAACGAAGCAAGGTTAAACATCACCTATGCTGAAGTATGTTTTGTTCAAAAGAGTTGAGGATCAGACTGTCTATCTGTGTGACGCGACAGAACCTGTATGTTAGCAAGTACCACACTCACAGTTAATCCCTTGGTATAAAGATACCTTGTTTGAAAACCGATATAGCGAAAAGAAAAGATGATGATATGGTGATGATGATGATGATGATGATGATGAAGAGGAGGAGGAGGACAATGGTGGTGGTGATGATGGTGGTGATGGTGATGATGATGCTGGTCATGGTGGTGGTGGTGATGCTGGCCATGGTGGTGGTGGTGATGCTGGTGCTGCTGCTGCTGCTGATGATGATGGTGGTGGTGGTGGTGGTGCTGCTGCTGCTGCTGATGATGATGATGGTGGTGGTGGTGCTGCTGATGATGATGATGAAGATGATGATGATGATGATGATGATGTCATGGTGGTCGTGCTGCTGCTGCTGCTGCTGATGATGATGATGAAGATGATGATAAGGAGGAGGATGTGATGGTGATGATGATGATGATGATGATGATGGTGGTGGTGGTGATACTACTGCTGGTGCTGTTGATGATGATGTAGGGGTAGGGGTAGGGTGGGATGTGTGTTTTTTGTTTGTTTGTTGTTGTTTGTTTTGTTTTTTAGGGGGTTGGGGGGGTTACAGGGGTGTGCCCACTCCCCCTCCTTTATTTTGTCCTGAAAGTTTATGAATTTACCATTGAAACTCTCGTGAAAATGAAGTGTGCAACGCCACCACCCCCACCTTTCTCAAGAATGTGTACCCCGCCCCTTTCTCGAGAAGCTGTATCCGCCCCTGTACCCTGTAGACATCCGTGGACATTCCAGTAGAAACTTGAGTGACGTCAGATGAAAACAAGCTGTGAGAATAAAGTAATAACCATTTTCAATGGACATGCATATTAAATTTAATGTATATTTTTTTCGCATTATACCTTAAATGATATGTATTAAGAGCATGTCTGCTAATTAAAATCAATCATTAAAATAAATATCAAATCAGTTGTCATCATGTGATATGACTGTGGGATTGTTTCGTTTCAGCCTTCAATTTCAATCCCTGTTTATCTCGGTTTTTGCAAAATTCATACCACGACTTGGCGTATCACCGCTGAGTTCCCTAACCCCGGACTTGATGTAGTAGCTAACATGCCTTAAAGTCAAACCCCTGAATTATTCAAGCGGTGCTCTCACAGCATTTGAAGACTTGCCTTTATTTATTTAGCGGCTTGCGTTTAAATGCTAAATTGCAACACGCTAGAATCTCATTTCATGAACAAATCATTGAAGTTTTCTTGTATTCAGTCCTTTTCCAATATCTGGTTACCATTCCTGTCCTGACATTTTGTTGATGGTCATTCTTGGCCACTCATTAAATATTAGTCACGATCACTACCATACCACCCCATCCCCTCCCACCAATGACCGCCTCCGTGGTGTAGTGGTTTTTAAGAGTATCCGTCCGCAAAGACCGCGGAAGGTCCGCGGCGGGTTCGATCCCCAGCAGCGGCATACCAAAAGACGTTAAAATATGGTACTTGTTGGTCCCTGCCTGGCGCTCGGCATTAATGGGTACAACAAGGACTGGTCGGCTCGGAGTCAGAATAATGTGTCTAAGTGGGGCAGGGTATCTCAGTGGGCTAGCACTATAAAACCAGCTTCAGTCTGGGCTAGTACAAGCAGCCGCACATACACACGCATGCACGTTTGTCATATGAGCGAAATATCCTCAATTACGACGTTAAAACCCATTTCACCTCAACTCACCCTCCCACTAACACCCACACCACACCCCATCCGATTTTAGTTCAGCACAATCACAACTTGGTTCCGTCTTCGTGTAAACGCGCATAGTGAAATAAACAGTCAATGTGTATCCAATCCCCATACTTTGAAAGCTAATTAACATGGCTATCATCAAAATGAATTACGACTGCCACACTACTGGTCAATCGAAATGGTGAACAATTGGCTTTAATAATTTTCAAAGTTACCAAAATTTTCAAAATGTTTCAGTGCCCAAGGTAGTACGATCGTAGTACTTTGTGACTAGTGGCCCTGATCGAGTATAAGTGAGTGACGCCGCACTCAGCAATATTCCAACTTTATGTCGGCGGTCTGTATATAATCGAGTCTGGACCAGACAATCCAGTGATCAACAGCATGAGCATCGATCTACACAACTGGGATACGAGCCTGAACACCCGATCCCGGTAGTCGCCTTACATTAATCGCCTCTTACGACAAGCATGGGTTACTGAAGATCAATATTCTAACCCGGATCTTCACGGGTTCGCGTATAAGTCAATTTATGAAGATTACTAAATAGCGTGAAGGTTAACCGGTGGAATTATGCTGTGATTCCCACAAACCAGTGAAAGACGCAATAAACGATATACTGCTATCATCGTCAGGCTTGCCTGGACCTGACTTGGACTTCTTCCTATATAGATTACTAAACGAGAACCCGTTAACACAGATACCGTTTTAATTACAACGGGTTTATTTCAGCTGTTAAAACTCTTTAGATATCGTTTATATTACAATCAGTGTATTTCAAAATTTATCCATCTCGCCTTGGCTCGTTAGATTCATTTTGAAATACGCTCGCTTTGGCTCGTTAGATACGTTTTGAAATACAGTCGCTGTAATAAAAGTGTTATCTAACTAGAATGGGTATTGGAATGTATTTTTTACTCATTAAAACTTTACATTATTGAAATTCAATGTTGAAAA